AAAAATCAAATTTGAAAATGTGGATGGATCAAGCTAATGGCTGTGGAGAAAAAAATAAAAACAAAAAGAACATTTGGGAAAAATAATTCCCTAGTGCATCCCAATGAGAGAGGCAATTGTGCTCAGAATTCAGTTAGATGAATTTCTTCCCTTAATTTGTTCAGATGCCTCCAACTCCAGTGCCATTATTCAAAGTTCAAAAGTTTTATGTAGTACATATGGCAAAACCCATATTGAGTATGGCCAGCTGCTTGTAAACGGTGTAAAGCCATTTTATATGTAAATAACTAGTCTGTTATTCTTTTTCTAGAATTTTCGTGTCACTTTCCTAATATGGAATAACCTAATTTCTTACTTTCTAATAGACACATTTATTGTAGTTTCTCCCATCTTAACATGTATTTTTAAACTTTTAAATTTGTTTATTTATTTATTTGTATTCCACCTTTATTATTTTTATAAATAACTCAAAGTGATAAACATAGCTGTCTCCCTCATCCTATTTTCCCCATAACAACAACCCTATGAGATGAGTTACACTGACAGGGTAGGACTGGCCAAAGTTACCCAACTGGTTTTCATGCCTTAGATGGAACTAGAATCTCCTAGTTTCTAGCTTGGTACCTTAATCATTAGACCAAACTGTAGCATGGTATGGTGTGGTGTGGTATGGTGTGGTATGGAATAATATACTATAGTATAGTAAAATAAAGAAATTAATGTTTTATTCTCATGTATCATATAAATTCAGTAACTGACAAAATTAATTCTTTTATAGATATATAGTTTTATGGATATTTTATGTGTCTTTCAATTTTTAGTAGCATATTTCTCGGTTGTACTCTGTTGCTGAAATTGTGGAAAGCATAAATGTAACAGAAAAAAATCATTTTTACTTATACAAGAAATAAATTAGCAAATGGCTTTTATTGTCATTTTTGCAGAAATAGCCATAAAACAATTACAATTTTCCAAGCAATGGTTATTTAGAGATCAATATTTGTGTACGATCAATGTACTTCCCAATAAACAAGCTGTTTTCATTGATATCTTTGCTGAGATACTCATAAAATAACTGCAGTCTTCCATGCAGCAATTGTGTTAGAGTGCAATACTTCAGTAAGAACCATTTATTTCCAATAAACATTCCCTTAGTGCCTTTATACTTTGGTAAAAGAAATACAAAGAATTTCTTCGAAATATAGTAAATAATAGATAGGACAGGTATATGAATACTCCACATTCTTTAATAAACAAATAAAGTAGGGCTCAGAAACATCACATGGTCCAAGGGCCAAATGCAGATCTTCAAGTCTCATCCTTAAACCATATATTGTTATTTGTGCACTCTGCTCAAGTTGGGAATGAAAAGAATGGATGGATGCACTTAGTAAGCATTTTAAACATACTTCTAGCTATAATCTGGACCTGGCAACTCTTACAAACTGAAGAGATCCATGTTTAAACATTTGCAGGAATGTAACTAATTCTTACAGATAATTTGTCACATTCTCCTCAAATACTGCATCAGTATTCACACCACCTTAATCTTACTATTCTTACTATACTTCTAAGTTATACTGCCCTCCCAAAAGCTTTCATGTATAGAATTCTATGCAAAATTCCATTCTCAGTGCATCTCCTGTTGGCATGCACAATAGTCTGGTTGTGCCATGAGCTGTGCTATTATTTTCCTTCACAATACTGTTAACTAAACCATTGCTCTTCCCTTTTCCATTCTCCTTCTCCCTTGGAATTATGAGTCAAGTGTTTAATCTATTAATTACTAGGTGGCAGTAAAGAATTAGGTTTGCATGTCTCCAACATATAACCAATTCCTACCCAACTCCCACCCAGCAGGGGCTCAACTTTCACCGTATTCCAAACCTAAGGGAAAATCCAGATCTTTAATAGCTTCCTGAGCATCTGGATGTCTGGGAGGGGTATTATTCCAAAAGCAGGTGCCATGACAAAAAAGGCGCTTCTTTATCTTCATGATCTGTATGCTCATATCACCTTCTGTGGTTATACTATTAATTTGATGAAACAACTTTCCTCCAATAAATAAAATTTCCTCAAAAGAGAAATGGCTGTAAACAAATTTAAGATACTAGTAAATCCATATCTGTTAAAAGGTTATTCCAGCTAACATGCTGATGCCCAAAGTAAATCAAGTGGCACTGTGACATTGAGAAGATAGAGTAATCACACTTAAAGATCTGATCTGATCTGATCTGATCTGATCTGATCTTATCCAGCAAGACCTGAGTCTTTGCATAATGTGTCCAAAATAGGCTAATTTGAACCTGACCATTTAAGCCTTGGGAACCCAGAGTTGAATTGCTCAATAATCCACTGGTCTACTTTCTTGGTTGTCATAGCAGTTTCAGGAGTTTTCTCCAACTCCAAATTTCAAATGCATCAAGACTCAAATAAACTACAGACTTCCAGTGAAAAGATGGCCAATTTACAGGAATGATCCCTGAAGGGTTTTTCCCTGGACTGTAGCTTTTTCAACCTGCCGATGGAAGGAACTGGCATTTCTTTAGTTTATATGACTCTTCTGGGGTAGGGAAAGTCCTAGAATTATCCCACAAGATCCTGTGATACAGCAAAGGTCTGCAGAAGCTATGCTTTGAAGCAGCCTGCATGCCAAAAACTGGTGGTGGTGGTGGTGGGGAGACCTACAATCAGTTCATTGCTGAAAAAGCAGCCATTTTGGAATTTGTTTTTCAAATGGACAGTAAATTGCACCTTTCATTTCTTAATCATTTTTAAGGACTAATATTTTTTATCAACCTAAAAGAAGCTCTCTTTAGCCACAGCCATTCCTTTTTGAAAATCTGCACCATTTTGGGGATTTCTTCATTGTTAAACAGCAAGGAAGAGATTTCTGAAGGCAAGCTAAAATAAGGAATGTGGAGTAAAAAAAATATTGATGGAGAAATATAAGGGTAGAAAGTCATGGTTCTAGTTTATTATTTTTAGTAATTTGTAGCTTGGTCAGCTTCCCTGTGGATTTTTATTATTTCTGGCCAGCAATTTTTAAGTGACTTACAAAAAAGCTCCTCTTTGACTAAAGAGGGAGTTAAAAAGATGGAGAAGCAAATTTTTAGAGATGTATTTGAAAAATATTTAAATAAAATCCATGAGTTCATAGATTAGCTATACTCAAAAGATGTTTAAAAAAAACTTCTCAAACTACTTCACAGATGCAAATATGTGTAGAATATTACCAAACCACTGAAGCAATTTCACAAGTAGCTGACAATGCAGAGGAGTCAATTATGATTTAAATATAAATCTCCCAATACAATTGAAGAAAAATCTCCAAGAAAATCTACAACTTTTAAAAGAACAAGTTTGAAACTTTTTTTTTGTGGACATTAACAGGGTTGAGAAAAAGAGAAGCTTATAACTACTTGACAAACATTCTGGAAGAAAAAAAGATTTTATTGCATGAAGACAAGCTGGAAGGAGTGACTTAAACTTAATGAATTAATTGGAATTAGGATGGAATTTTATCAATGTGATATTTGTAATTGAAAGAAAGTCTTAATCTAAAGTTTGAAAATGTATTTTTTCCTTTAAGTAATTCCTAAAGTTTGTAAAATATTATTGAAAATTTATTTGAAAGTATCTTTGTTAAAAGAAAAGATGTATTAGCTTAAAGAAAAGTTTAGAGTTTAAAAAAGGATGCATACAAGAAAAAAAAGTTATTCAATGAGGGTAACTTGGAAGGAGTTTAATGAATTAATTGGAGTTATTTGGAATTTTATTGGTCTGAAAATAAACTCTAAAGTATTAGAGACAACATTTTTTCTTTCTTCCTTTATACCTCATATTTTCTTTCCCCCTCTCTTTTTCCTTCCCTTAATTTCCTATTTTTATTTTTATTTGCATTTTATATATTGATAAAACAATAAAAGTCATGAGATAAAAAAAATACTCAAGTAAAGTACACACTAGAAATTATAGCAGAACTTTTAAGAGACTTAACAACCACTTGTCTGAAATGATATAGCATCTCCTGCTTGAGTGGGGTTGGACTTGATGACCTCCATGTTCCCTTCCAATTCTGTTATTCTGTTAACTCTTCTGCATGCTTTATAACTTAATTCATGAACACATGTACTTTTATAGTTGTATGCCACCAACGTATATGTGATGAAAAAGAAGCACCACAAAACCTGAAGATCAATTTGGCTTTGTCAAAATGGCAGACAAACAGTTTGCCTTCCAACTACAAAGAGAAAAAGAGAAGTTTGTGATTGTTGTTAGTCGTGAAGTCGTGCCTGACCCATCATGACCCCATGGACAATGTTCCTCCAGGCCTTCCTGTCCTCTACCATCCCCCGTAGTCCATTTAAGCTCACACCGACTGCTTCAGTGATTTTTGTGATACAAGTTTATGATACTAGGGTTTATTGAGAGGCAATTAAAAGAGGCTAACTTGTTCATGGTCCTTCAAAACATTCCTTTCAATGATTTAAGCTAGGGCAATCTAGCATCATTCCCACTGCTTTTAATGGCCTCAGTTATTGTTTCTTTTTAGATTCTTAGGCTGATAAGGTAAAATAAGCTTTTTTAAAAAAACATATTTTTAAAAAAAGATTTAAATGCATACTGCAGTACACTTTCTATTGAAAGTTAACATTACTTGCATACTATATCTAATTGCCTCTTTTAAAAAATAGGTGTGTTTGTGACCTTTAAAAATGTAATGGTGTCAAAAAATCCATAATCCATCATTATCTCTTCAATCTCCTTCTCTGTCATTGACCCATTGTTAGCTGTGAATGGGGCATTCATTGCACAATACATCAACTTCTTATGCACCTGCCATGTTCTATCATGAATTATATTAATTCACGTAAAGCTAACAAAGATTAATTGCAGTAGTACAGCAGATTGGCACAGGAGGTTTTGCTGCTTGGCAATCTCAGAATGCAGGCATTCATTCAACCTTGCTTATTTGTCACTGCTTCATATATCAACAGGTGTGTGCCAAATCACTGTGAGCATGGAGGGAAGTGTACCCAAACATGGGATAGCTTCAGTTGCACCTGTGATGGAACTGGATACAGTGGAGCCACATGCCATAACTGTAAGTGGGACTTGAGCCTTTATGCTGCCTCCCATAATGTTCTTTGTTAATTGAATTAATAATATTGATTATGATGAACAATAAGGAAACAGTGACATGAACTAAAAAGGCAGAATAAAATCTATCTTTAAGTAACAAGGAAGTGTGAATTTACAAGGAATAGTCCATCTACACTGTTCATTTAAAAAGGAAAAAAATGTTTTCAAGTACTTTTAAGAAATAATATGTTTTCTAACGTTTTCTTGGAATACATTTATTATCACTAGCATGAAAAAACAACTTTGTAATTTGAACAGAAAACTTTTCTGGAAAAAAAAATTGAATTGCATAATCATGTGCAAAATTGGAAACTTGTTTTCTACTTCGCAAAACTGACTCATGATTTAGAAATGAACCATGCATGTTTTTAAAATTGCATTGGAACATTTTATTATGCTTAATACATTACTTCTATGAATTAGGCTTACTGTTTCTTCTGCTTCTTTGCATTTTTAATCTGTTGATGATTTTTTCTCAATTCTGACCTTGATTCCATTGGTTTGAATAGCCAAACCAAACTTGGTTTCTTGAGTAGCCAAAACCAAGCCTACAGTTTCTGTTTATAACATTCCAGTTGTAAGTCATTGCCAGGTTAAATCTTTATCCACTTCCTTCTTGATATTTTATAGAAATTTATCTTGTAATGCTTTTACTTGTCAGCATTCTGTTCAAAATTATAACATTATTTCAATATTCAAGTTTTGTATAGTTATCATTTTTAACTTGTTCATGGTTGTCTTGCACATAATTAACCAATGCATGCGTTTATGCAAGCCATCGTTCCTGAGTCTCATTGTCCACTTGCGACTGATGTCCTGGGACTCTAAGACTTGACATGGTCTTTGTTGACCTGGGTAATGATGAATACAGTATAGGATTCTTTTTCTGTGTTCTTACTATAGAAAATAGGTACACCCAGAGACCTGTGTAGCATGAGTTATCCTTTTGGTAGAATACACTACTGCCAGTATAGCTCTCAATCTCATCAGAGCATCACAAGTCCTTCCATCATGACAAGTGGTATCCATATAGAAGTTATTATTTATTATTAAATTTATATTGCTGCCTGAGTTCCAGAGACTCTGGGCAATTGCTGACATGGTTAGGCGTCAGCACAGGTCCATCTCCATCAGTCTTCTTAGCCAGACACATATTCAAAGGCTGATATAAGAAAACTGAGAGCACTCCTCTCCCAAGCATAACTATTTATGCTGACAGCACCTCCATATAGATTGGATCACTGTTTATGTAAATTTACAATTTTGCACTTATCAAAATCAAAGGAAAAACACATAATATTAATACTGGGATAGAGATACAAGAGTAAAAATCCAAAATTGTGAAAGTGGTCCTTTACAAACTTTCCCATAAATACGAACCTAAGTTTAATTTTATTTGAATTAGATTTAAATAGTGATGCTCAAGTGGCTAAGATGCTGAGCTTGTAGATCAGAAAGGTCGGCAGTTTGACGGTTTGAATCCCTAGTACAGGTCTCCTGCATGAGCAGGGGATTGGACTAGATGACCTCCAAGGTCCCTTCCAACTCTGTTACTGTTAATCAATTTAAGCATACTATACATTATTTGGAAATTAGACAGTTTTTAAATGTTTACCAATTAGGATTGGTCTTGGGAAAACATAACTTCTCTTAAATTAAATGTTTTACCCAAGGAAAAAATTGTCAGGTAGAGTACTTCTGGATAATATAATACACTGTCTTCTGCAAATTTTGGTTGAGTCAGCCTTCCATCCTTTCTAAGGTAGGTAAATTGAGGACCCAGTTTGTGGGGGCAATAAGCTGACTTTGTATAAATATACAAAAGTATGAAGGCTATTGCTTAACACATTGTAAGCCGCCCTGAGTCTCCGGAGAAGGGCGGCATATAAATCAATTTTTTTAAAAAAATACAATAAATACATAAAAAATGGAATTAGTACTTCTTGACTTATGTAATGCTAGAACAGGAATTTAAAAGCTATTGCTATATTTTTCAACAACTGTTATTATAAAGGCTTAGAGAAGCCTGTGTCATGTGAGAATCTGTAACAACAGCGAGCTTTGCTTTCACACACTCTTTGAAATTTCAGATATGTCTGTGCGTATGCTGCTAAAGAATCTAATCATTTTTACGATAAGTCTTAATATATATTTTTGGCTGTTCAGAGACCCAATTCCTTCTAAAGTGAGATTTCATGAAATGCTTCAATTAAATAGCAGCATTTTGATAAACAGAATCTTACTCTATCCTCTTCCTTCTGAGCCTTTAAGCCTGAGGAAACTTATCAGGCCATGTTATATTATAAGTGTAAAATCCAGAAATGTTTTTCCAAAACAGATTATGAAACCTCCCAGGGAAAAAAAGTCAGGATTTCATATTTCAATTCAATATAGATATATTCTAATTCTAATACTATGGTACTTCAAATAAGATAAGGAAAGCCTTCAGAGCATGATCTCTATAAATCTATCCTTTAGCAGCAGTGACCATAGGATCTATGTGATACATATTTACTTGAGTACTTATGTATTCGTGTTACGTCTATGCGTATGAATACTTTTTCCTCAGATTGTGGCCTTATGTATCTGTGAGTGTGCAGTCTACTGATGATATCTTGCATCAAATCAGGGGGTGACCTGTCCCAATCATCTTATATAGATGTTAAATAACTTGGAGGAAAAGAACAGGTTTTGTGAAATTTCACGTTGGAGAATCCATGGACTCAGTTGTTACTGAATAGAATGCATCTAGATGTCCAGATTTGGAAGGGGACCTTGGAGACCTTCTAGTTTAATCTCCTGCTCAAACAGGCGATCCTATACATTTCAGACAAATGGCTGTCCATTATCTTCCTAAAAGTCTCCAGTGATGGAACACCCCCAACTTCTGAAAGCAAGCCGTTCTACTGGGACGGTAGAGATGACTGAAGAGATTTCTGATCCAAAAAGGGATGTAAATGACACACCAGATAGAGCTAAGCTGCCACCTACCTATGAATCTAAGAGGATTCGAATACAATTGCAGGAGCCCTTCCTTCTTGATCTTGGCACCATGACTGCTTCAGGATCAGAAACCAAGCAGGGCACATATCTAAAAGGACAGCATCACTGATGCTGTTCAGGCTAGTAATGCATATTTACTGATCCTTACCAGATCTGGTGTTTGCTAATAACAGCCTGATCTTCATCCATGTCCCATTTCTCTGCGTTCCCCAACTTATCTGTTTCTGATTGTGAATGTCTTAGTATGAATTTCCATTATTTTTCTTTGGCTACTTCCCCTCATTCTGATTTCCACTCCAACCATCCTAATCTACTAGTTCTGGCATGAAAGGCTGCTATTAGCTAAATAATTAGGTTGGATCTGATCCAATCATATCATCCACATAGCAAATACCAGAGCAGATTGAATTAGCCTTTTCCCTGATAGTTTCTTCTGCTGTTGATAAAAATTTCCATCGACAGAACATTTGAGTGCTAAAGAGCATTTGAGTGCTAAGGAGGAAGTCAGAGAAATTATGACAAATCATAGTGATTTTTGTTGTTCTTCCTTGATACTTATATTTGTTGGTCAGAAAAAAATATATAGATGATGGCTGGCTGGCTGGCTGGCTGGCTGGCTGGCTGGCTGGCTGGCTGATGGATGGATGGATACATGGATAGATGCATGGATGGATAGGTGGATTAACAGACAGACAGATAGATGATAGAGATAAATAGATTTACATTGCAAATGTTAAAAGTATTTAATTCATAAATTACAACTTTATATGATTGTTCTTAAGAAAAATTTATTTTACAAGATGAAATGAGATCATACAATGCATTTCGCAATTTTGTCCTAAATATGATTTGAACAAACATTTCACGCTTTGTTTTTGAATATGATTAAAAAAAATGAGAATACAATGCATTGATTCACTCTTCTAAATGTCAGCTCCATTTAGTGCCCTAGGAGCTTAATGAGATTTGGTTATTTCCCCCACCCACCCACCCAAATTGCAATTTTTTTGCTCTTAAAAATATTCTGGATTGTTTTTATAATGAGCTTATAACATCAAAAAGTACTTTTAGGAAAAAAGAATTTGAATCACATTTTCTTTTCCTTACACATTATCATTAGTGTGGATAATAGGCTAATTGTTATACTTGAAAAAATATTTCCAGATTTATTAATCAAGAAAACCAAAAATGCACAAATAACATAATATGTAATTTGCATGCTGTGGGTACTTTGACTCCTGCAGATGCATTTGGTTAGCTTTTAATTACTGTGGTCCTACTCTTTTATACCCCTTCATGGATTACTGCCATGTTGTGGCGAAGGGGCTCACTTAGCTCAATGAAGCTATGAGCTATGCCGTACAGGCCCACCCAAGACGGGCAGGTCATAGCAGAGAGTTCTGACAAAATGTGATCTACTGGAGCAGAAAATGGCAACCCACTCAAGTATCTTTGCCATGAAAACAGAAGGTGTCCAATAAGCTACTGGGGAAGAGCAGAGAGCTAGTACTAGTAGCGCCAGAAAGAATGAAGCAACTGGGCCAAAGCCAAAAGGACACTCAGCTGTGGGTGTATCTGGTGGTGAAAGGAAAGTCGGATGCTGCAAAGATATTTTCTCCGTAAGAACCCGGAATGTAAGATCCATGAATCAAGGCAAGCTGGACGTGGTCAAACAAGAGTTGACAAGACTGAACATCAACATCTTAGGAATCAGCAAATTAAAATGGGCAGGAATGGGTGAATTTAATTCAGATGACCATCAGGTATACTACTGCAGGCAAGAATCCCTCAGAAGAAATGGAGTAGCTTTCATAGTTAATAAAAGAATAGGAAAAGCAATACTGGGATACAATCCCCAAAATGACAGAATGATCTCAGTTCGAATCCATTCAATATCACAGTAGTCCAAGTCTATGCCCCAACCACTGATGCTGAATAGGATGAAATTGACCTGTTCTA